TACCACTACTGTGCATGTGTGTCAAGGACAGAAAGGCAGATGTGGCAGTGGAAGGTGTCAAAGCAGTTTGGAGAGAAAAACAAAGTGAAGAACAAAAAAAAAAGAAAACAATTTATCAATTATTAAAGTAGTCATAGATTATTTTAATAATCGATTAGTTGTCGATTAATCGATTAATCGTAGCAGCCCTAATGCTGTCATGTTTTGGTATGAACTCACACATGCAGAACGGCAGAGAAACATCTAAAATATCTTTTTGTCTGTCAATTTTATTTATATAGCACACTTAAAAACAACAACGTTGACCAACGTTGGTTATTGTCGCTAACTTTTTGGTTAGCTGTGCCACCACTGCCAAAACCCAATATTTTTTAACCGTTATCTGTACAAACAGCATTCGAGTGGAATTTAATTCACTCAAAGTAACGATAAGCATCACAGGTCTGTATGTGTCTGTCTCACCTGTCTCCTGCAGCCGTGAAGATAAAGAAACCAATCCAGACCAAGTTCAGAATGCCAGTATTGAACTGGGTTGCTCTCAAGCCCAGCCAGATCAATGGAACGGTCTTCAATGACATCGATGATGAATCCATTTTGCAGGTAACAGACCAGGAGTTGGAGATCTTTATAATTAAAATAAAAGCTGCAAGGACTCATGAAAACTTTATTGTTTTTAATTTAAATTAATTTAAGAGCATTTCTTAAAGGACATCTGATTACCTGTCTGTCTCTCAGGACCTGGACATGGGGGAGTTTGAGGAGCTGTTCAAGACAAAGGCTCAGGGTCCAGCAGTTGATCTAACCCTGTCCAGACAGAAGCTTCCTCAAAAAGCTCCATCCAAGGTCTCCCTGCTGGAGGCCAATCGGGCCAAAAACCTGGCCATCACACTGAGGAAGGCCGGCCAGGCTTCAGAGATCATCTGCCGTGCCATTCACACGTAGGTGGACCTGATTATTTTCTATATCAAACAGATAACTTTTACTAGCAACCGGTAATGTGAGGCAGACCAACTCTGAGCTCCACGGTTCAGGCTGAACCAGAGTTCTGAGCATCAGCAGCTAAGTTCAGTCATTAACTGAAGTTATTAGACCTTTATGCAATGTGAGTCCATCAGACCAAGGTAGTAGCACCCTCAAATGGCAGACCACAGTGTCAAGTTATTTACTGTGCTTCCCCATTTGAAAGAGATAAACATCCACACAGAGTTATTTCAACAAATACTGAGAAACCCTGCTGACATCAAATTTAACAGATAAATCATCCAACTTCTGTCAGTTTCCACCAGTTTCTGAGTGCATTGTTATGGTGAAGGAAACTGGATTCAGACACCTTGACTTTTAGTTTGGAGTAACCTTACAATTTTTAAACCTCTGGCAGTTCAGTATTTACCTTTGTAGCCTTCAAGCTGTTCATTGGACTTGAGCTGTTTGAATTGAAAATAAAAAAACAGGATAAATGAGGGTGTTCTAAAAGTTTTGATCTCACACACACACACACACACACACACACACGTTTGTTTCTTGACCCCGTGGGGACCTTCCATTGACTTCCATTCATGTTTTTTAGACTTTATATCCTAACCCTGACCATACTCTAAAATTAACCTCACAGAAACTTACCTGACCCTAAAACTAACCTAAACATTGGTCCTAAACCTAACCCCACACCTGTAACATGCATTTGGACCCGTGGGGACCTGACATTGGTCCTAAACCTAACCCCACACCTGTAACATGCATTTGGACCCGTGGGGACCTGACATTGATCCCCACGATTCACTTCGTTCCCCACGAGGCAGCTTTTTTTTTTTGGAAAATTGTCCACAAGTTGTAGGAAAAACCGCGCGCGCACACACACACACACACAAAGGTTCATTGAAGAGTTTGTTTCAGATCTAACCATGCCTAAACCTAAATTCACTCTTTGTGCAGATTTGACCTCCGAACAGTTCCCGTTGACTTTGTGGAGTGTCTGATGCGTTTCCTGCCAACTGAGGCTGAGGTGAAGCTTCTACGGCAATACGAGAGGGACAGAAAGCCTCTGGAGGCTCTGAGCGACGAAGATCGCTTCATGATGCAGTTCAGTCGCATCGAAAGGCTCAGCCAGCGCATGACCATCATGACGTTCATGGGCAACTTTGCAGACAACATCCAAATGTTAACACCGGTAAGAAAAGAAAAAGAAAGCAGGAAAGATAAAAGAAAAATAATGAAAACTCATTCTGATGTGTTCCCTCTTAGCAACTTCATGCCATGATTGCCGCTTCAGTGTCTATAAAATCATCTCAGAAATTGAAGAAGATCCTGGAGGTTAGTTTGTGTAACTCATTGTTTGGATTCTGTACTTTTTTTTTGTTGTTGTTGTTTAAATGTCCAGAAACTGTGTTTAGATAAAATATGAGTTGTTTTGTGTGGCTGCTGCAGATCATTTTGGCTCTGGGGAACTACATGAACAGCAGCAAGAGAGGCGCCGTGTATGGATTCAAACTGCAGAGTTTAGACCTGGTAACATGGCACACAACTCACTACATAAACACACAAAGTTCACTTGATTAAACTGCAGAGTTTCTGTTTGATCCCGTCCGAACAATAAGATGATCATACAAGAGCAACTAATCAGTTTATAGGTAAACAGGCTGCTAAAATGTTTAAATCAATGCAGGAACAGCCACAAAGTTGCTGTTAAAATAATTATTTATTTCTCAGTAGAAACAGGTTTTCAGAAAACACCAGCAATACCACATTACCCAGAGACCCCCCAGTTAAGTCTGCACAATATATTGTGAAAATATCATCATCACAATATCAGTGTGCGCAATATTCGTATCGTAAAGGACTGCTTGGAGTTCAATTATTGTTGACTAACGTATTTGAGACGGCACAGTGGCTCAGTTGGTAGAGCTGATGCCTCTCAACAAGAAGGTCGCTAGATCCAATCCCAGCCCAGGGACCTTTCTGGGTATAGTTTGCAAGTCCTCTCTCTTTGCATGTGTGGGTTTTCTCCAGGTGTTGYGGTTTCTTCCCACAGCCCAAAAACGTGACTGTTAGGTTAATTGGTAACTTTAAATTGTCCGGCAGTGAATGATTGTCTGTCTCTGTGTGTGGCCCTGTGATGGACTTGCGACCTGTCCAGGGTGTATCCCGCCCCTCGCACAGTGACTGCTGTATGGGCACCACTGAATCCCCTATGACCCTGGATGGAACAATCGGGTATAGATAATGGATGATGTATTTGAAGAGTTGTGAAGTTGTATTTTTAATGCCAATGCAATATTTAGCCAGTGGAACAGAGTCTAATGGCAGCAAAAACTCACACAATACACAAATGACATTGCTAAAAACGTTAAAAGTCACAGAGTAGGAGTACAAATTAGAAAGAGAAGAAAGAAAAAAAGATATTTTGCAATGATATATACTGCAATGTCATCATTGCAATATTTACAAATATTATGGCCATCGCAAGATTTTTGGTAACGCTTTCTTTTACGGTGTATCATGTAATTACAAGGTAATAAAAAATGTAAATTAAATGTAATTACTACCTTATTACCATGTAATTATGTGGTAATTAGGGTACAATTTTACTTTGTAATAATTGTCTGCAGTAATGTAGCACTTACCTGGTAATGTATTACAATTCACTATGTAACACCTAAATAAGTAGTAGGTAATTTGGACAGTTTTAAAGTTATATTTTATTGCAATTAACCACTAACTCCAAAATTTAGTTGCATTCTTTTGGTTATAAATAGTGTTGAGTTACTATTGAATAGTAATTTGATTGTAGTTACCCAATGAAGGTAGTTTTACTAACAGTAGTTTTTCTTTTGTGCCGTAATTACCACGTAATTACATTGTAATAAGGTAGTAATTACCTTTAATTACATTTTTATTACCTTGTAATTACATGGTAATAAGGGTACCGTAAAAGAAAGCGTTACCAGATTTTCTACTATTGTGTAGTCCTTCCCCCAATGATACCACCCATAGAGACCCCAATGATCCCCCACGCCAACAAGTTCTTAATAATTTATTGCCTACATTCTGGTACCAGAGTTTCCAGAACTCCAGCAGATATTTTGTATCCACCTCCTGGTTGCTGAGGCTGAACCTGCCTCCTAAAGGTCGGAGGAGGCAGACTAAGACAAGCAGCTCCTTCAGGTTCCAGTGATGTATGATGATAATTTCAAGATAGGAGCAACACTCCTTTCTGATGCTGTAGTAAAGATGTGATGCACAGCCTGCTGGGATATGCTCAAGAAAATCTTGGTGTTTGTTTTTAGCTGCTGGAAACCAAATCAACTGACAGGAAGCAAACGCTCCTTCACTACATTGCCAACGTGGTGCAAGAGAAATATCCAGTAGTGTCTCCGTTTTACAATGAGCTTCACTACGTCGACAAGGCTGCTGCAGGTGAGTCTATCGGCCGATCTAAAAGAGCCGCACGCGGAGAGAGCCGTGAGTGACTCACCTGTTCACCTGTGCGTAGTGAGTCTGGAGAATGTGCTGTGTGACGTGAAGGAGCTGCAGCGYGGCATGGAGCTCACCTGGAGAGAGTTCAGCGTGTCACACAATGCCACGCTCAAAGACTTCATCAGCAGGAACGAGTCCCGGCTCAACAAGCTCCAGGAGGACGCACGCATCGCTCAGGTGAGACTGACACAGACGAAAGGTGTTCATGTTCAGAGCAGACAGGTGAACGTTACAGGAGCTACAAAACACAAAAACAAGAGTGGTCACAAACTAACCCTCAACAGAGATGATAGTTCTAAACACTGATTCTTCTGTAAACTAACAGTGTGTGTGTGTGTGTGTGTGTGTTTGGATAACCTTCAGGATGCCTTCGAAGACGTGGTAAAGTTTTTTGGTGAGAGCTCCAAGACTATGCCACCTTCTGTCTTCTTTCCCATCTTTGTTCGTTTCATCAAAGCGTACAGGGTGAGTGATCCAAAGAAAGCCCCGCCCTTGTAGTGTGGGTGTGGTCTGCTGACACAAAGCCCCTCCTGCACTCTGTCTGATCAGCCGTAAATGTGCGTCCTCAGGTGGCTGAGGAGGAAAACGAGCAGAAGCGGCGTCAGGAGCAAATGCTGCTGGAGAAACTGGAGCAGGAGGAGCAACAGGAGGAGGAAGAGGATACTAAGGTGACATGTACACATTAAAACACTGACATCATCGTCCAGACAGTTTCTGGTTGGTTAGAAACTAAAGGTGTAAATCACCAGCTTTATCACGATACAATATTACAACGATAGGTTTGGATGACGATTCGATATTTCTTGATACCACAAAGTCTGTCACAATATGATTTCGATTCAGTTGTCTGCGATCGATTAAATGTGATTTCATATGCCCATCTAACACAGTGACTGTGTTAGATGGGCATATGAAATCGATTCACATCGAGCAAATGATAATATAGATCAATATTTTCATTTTGCCTCGATATAACTGAATCATGAACCATTCAAATCAATTCAGATCGATGTGTTGTTACACCCCTATTAGAAACCATGTAGTGTGACCAGAATGAAATTAGGCCTGGTTTAGACTTCAAGATGTGAGACAGCTGATCTGTCTTTGTCTCACCAAGTGTTTATAGCCACGTAGAAGATGCAGGGAATAAATCATCATAATTCCTCCCTCTGCTATCCCACAGGGCTCCCATTGCAGCAAACGTTGCACAGATAACCTTATAAACAACTAGAAGCACGTCTGATGAAGCACCAGGCCCTGATATATGCCCTGCTGAGTTCTATAAACACCTCTGGTTAATTTTATCACATTTATTTCACAGAGTCTTAACTAAAGCACATCATAAACAAAACAAATTCTGGAAAATATGAACAAAGCCACGCTCACATTAATCATGAAACCCCAGATAGACCCAACACTAACCAGCTGCCGACCAATTTCTGTTCTCATTGTGGACGTTAAAATCCTCACTAAAACACTTTTTCACTATACAGAGCACAGATATTAAAATTGGATTTACATCAGATCTCTGTACTTTCTGTACTGAAAATACACCAGATACCTACAGTATATCCATGTTATGTGGCTCTGCTCACCCATAATCAGTAATTTTGGAAACAAGTCACAGAATCCGTCTCCCTATTCCTGGGCTGATGTAATTAAAGTTTCCCCATACCCCCCACTTTTCTTTTTCTTTTTTCCTCTCTCTTCTTCCTGTGTTCTTTTTGTTCTCCCATGTGGAAGGATATTAGAATGATTGTAATTTGTTTCCTTTAATAATGCCTGAGCTGCCCCACTTCTCTCTCTTTTTTCCTCTGTAGACAATAGGGGTGGGAATCTTTTACTCTCTCACAATTCGATTCTGATTTTTGGGGCCACGATTCGATTCAAAATAGATTTTTCATTCAAAGCTGATAATGTGAGCCCATTTGTCGTGTTTCCAAAGTGCTTCATCTTCATTTTGCAAACCTTGCACAAACTGAAGCTCATGTCGAACTCAGACTCATTCAGTAAAAACCAAAATGAGCYCAAATCTTTGCAGTCAATGAAGACAGGGGTCAGTTGAATCTCTCTTTCCTCCAGTTCTGTAGTTTTCTCTTTGTTTTGGTGCTTTCTGCACATTCATATGTTCCAGAAGCAGCTGCATGATGACATCAGCACATCCCATGTGGTGCCATTGGATTTGCTTTACTTATTTTTTTTTATATAAAAATTGATTTTGGGACATTTTAAATCGATTCTGAATCTTTGTAAATGATAATCACGATTCTGATGTAAAATGATTTTTTGGTGCACCCCTAATACACACACACACACATCCTTGTACTTTTATCAAACTGAGGATTTTGCATTTATGTCTAAACCAGACAGTGTCCTTAACCCTAACATTACTAGTCTATTCCTAACCCTTAACCAGAACTTAATTATACCACTAAACCTAACTAGTAGAGCGCAGTAGAACTGCAAAACAAGTGAGGACCAGGAAAATGTCCCCACTTCCCAAAAATGTCCTCACTTTGTTATTTAAAAATGTAACATGGTCCTCACTGTGTAGCAGAAACAAGTATACACACACATACACACTTAAAGGTTTGCACTGTTGCCTTTAGACACAGAAACATATGTATGTACTGTATATTGTGTCTTTTCTAAAACTACTAGAAGAACTTGGAGAGGGCACACCCCTGAGCCCAGGGTTAGTCCTGCAGTAACGTGTGGTTAACACTCAAAAATTTGAGTTTTGCTGGGTCTCAAACGCATCACATACGAGAGCAGCGGCTGTCTCCTGCAGGTGCTCTGTTCCTTAACAGTTTTCACTGAGTGAAGGAACATAATGCTAGTTGTCTGGACTGTTTGTGGGGAGTTTAGAAATGAAATGAGAGGAAGAAGGAATCCAGTTTTTGCTACGGAGGAACATTGGGCCTCATGCAAGAACCGTTCGTACACACAGATTTGTTCTTAAGTTGTGCGTACGAGTGATTTAGGAGAATTTGTGGCATTCACCAATGTTTTCGTTTTCTAAGATTTTTTTCAGATACAAACAAAATTTACGAGTGGTCCAGACCTGTCGTACATTTTACGAACAGTCAGTCTGCTGTTATCCAGACGGGTTTTCTTCACTAATAACTTTATATTTCGTTAGTTTGAAGATATTTTGAGTTGAAAATAAATCACACTCCATAATTATGTTGACAATAAGTTATTCTGCTTGAATTAGAGTTATAATTGTAAATGTAATAATTTAGACTAACAATATAAATTGTCCGTCCGGCCGGCTTATCCACTATCAGGTGCGGGGGCAGCAGCAGAAAGACCCCGCTCTCCGCAGCGACACTTTCCAGCTCGTCCTGGGGGACGGTGCGCAGCGCTGTGGCTTCTGAATAAATGAAAATGATTTAACACAGTTGTTTATACTTTTAGCAGCTCTTTTTATTCCACAGCTGACCTGCTAAAAATGACAGATTTTCTTTTCTGGATCTCTGACAGACGGACTTCAATCTCTGAACTCGTAAAGTTCATTTTAGTTTTTGCTGTCATTTTCATGAATGGACACTTCCTTGTATCTGAGGCAGGAAACAGCCTTATATGGTGTTTTTGGGGTGGTAATTATGCTAATCTCCTCTCGCGTGCACGAGCAGCTGGATACGAACAGGTGAAATTTACGCAGCTCATTTACACACTTTTCCTGAAGATAGAAGAGTTTGTTGAATCTGACGTGACATGTTCGTACGAACCCTTTGTACGAACAAAAGTAAGAGAAATTTAGGATAAAAATAYGAACATGTTCTTGCATGAGGCCCATTGTGCTGTTCATGTAGCTGACAGTCAGTTTGAGCTGCAGCCACCCTTAAAGAAATCCCTGGATCCGAATGGTGATCCAGAGCAAAATTTCATGAAAATCTGTTCATAACAGATCAATACTGAAAACATAACCTGGTAGAATTAACAGGCAGGATAGATGGTTGTTTTTCACCAAATGATGTATCAGACGTTTGAAGAGAGGTTTATGTTTTTGGACAAGGAGTCGAAGGAGGAAGATGTAGTTTTTTTACGTTTTGTTTTGTTTTTGTTAACAGCAACGATGCTCCTCAAAGCTGTCCATATTCCTAATTTAAACAAACACACTCACAGTGTTCAGACCAATCAGCTAATGCTAAACACATAGCTCTGTGAAACAGACTTCTGACTTCAGGCCAATTACAGGACAAGGTGTCAGTGGGAGATAACAGATGGAAGTATAAATCAGCCTTTAGTCAAAAAATGCTGAGACAGTCATGACGATCTCTTGACCCTATATGTCTCGTAACTCATTGTATGAGTCATCTTTCCGGTTTGTTGAAGGACTTTCTGTCGACCTGGACAGATGTGGTCCATCACAAGGATACAGGCCTGTCCACATATAGCTTAAACTACTGTGTGTTRTGAAAGGTGTCTGCAACCATCTATCAAATATTTTTACCTTAAACGTCAATTAATGTGCACTGACCTTTTAAAAAATTTGATAAAGTGAAACATTAAATAGACCAAACACCTTTGACAGCCTAAAATGTTACAGATTTAGCAACAACTAATGGCAGAGAGGCTCAGTACAACATGAACACGTTGGCTTGTTTATTCTAAAGCTCAACACTTTGGTCCATTACACCAGTGGTTCCCAATCTTTTTAGACTTGTGTACCACCTGAGCAATTTTGTCATACCTCTAGTCAAACATAATGATGATTCTCCAAAACTATAATGTACAACAGCTTATTAATAAATGAAAATTATTTATTTAACTACCTAGAACATTTAATTCTCAGGCATTTTTTTCTTTTCAGCTACAATTAAACATGATAAATATGTTGCCTTGAAAGTGATTAAGTAATTAAATAAATAATCCAGGTAATGGCAGGTACAGGAGCAGCAGCGTCCAAAATACACCAAATACCCCAAATGAGCAAATTCCGTGAGATTCCACATTTTATACAGGATTCCATTTTGTGTCTATTTCGTGTTTCCGTTTGCATTTTCCGCATTGCGGAAATCATAGGGCACTACATATCTCAGTCCTATTTTTATAAATTTTTTACACACCTGGGAAATTTTTCTACAGACCCCCTGTAAATATGCTCGCGTATTGGCAAAGACAGCAGACATGTTTACTAAGGGAAAGATGGCGCCATAGAGGACATCATCACAGGTTCCCTGGTTGGGAATCACTGCATTACACCATAAAATAATTGGCCAATTCTGAATCCATGGATCCACGCACCACAAATCTATCAGCCACTTGCACCATTAACTTATTAGCCAGTTCTTGACGCTTGGCTCGGCCAAGTGGGTCACATAAAGTCGACACAGATTAGGTTAAAAACGGTCTTAAATTCTTGGCAAAAAGTCCTGTTTTTTATTTCTCCTCAGTGCTCTGTCTGCTCCAAATACATTTTAAAACAGACTATATCCTCTGTTGGATAATTTACTGAAAGGTATTACTGCATCTTATGAGCTCACGTTAGCTCTTGTGTTCATATCACTGTGTTAAAACCAGCAAGAAGTGTGTATAGAGTAGGSCTGCCACAAACAATTATTTTAATAATCGATTAGTCGTCGATTAATCGTGGCAGCCCTAGTATAGAGTGTACAGAGCACAATTTCTAACACCACAATGAGACTCTGTTTGGAGGATCTAGTACTGATTATTGCTGACAGGGGGAGGATATGTTAATATGACAAATCCACTGGAACACAGGATTTCTACCTGTACTGTCCTGTGACTGTAAACGAGTAAAAAACTGAGAGTAAATCAGTAAAACACATTTGAAATTACGTTTAAAAATTGTCAGAATAGTTGAAAAACCCACAGAACTAAACACAAGGCCTTTTTTCAGCTTTTGTTTTTTTTAGAATGTGCTATATAAATAAAGTACCTTTGATAAAAAACCATGACTGTAATAAATGTAACTGAACTCTAACCCCCCCATATTCCAGTCTCCATCCCATAAAGGCAGGCGGCAACAACAGGAGCTGATCACAGAGCTCAGACGACGTCAAGGCAAAGACAGCAGACATGTTTACGAAGGGAAAGATGGYGCCATAGAGGACATCATCACAGGTAACATCATTAACATCATACAGACAAATAACCACATCAGACCAGGCGCTTTTTAACTGTCATCTTCTGTTTTCTTACGTGCAGCTCTCAAAACGGTGCCCTTCACTGCTCGATCAGCCAAACGTAGCTCCCGCTTCTTTTGTGACTCCGCCCACACTGAAGAGCACTACTGAGAAAAACACTGACCACGCCCACTTTAAATCAACAGGTCCAATTAGCACTTTGAACATTTCCGATTGATCATTATGAACTGATCACATCATGCTTTTATGTTATTTTATTGGACTGTTTGTTCACAGGCCAGGTACCCAGACTTCTTCGAACCTCTGGGGCCAGTTAAACCCTGAGACTAGAGTTCTACAAAAGCAAACAAGTTCTGAAGCGAACTGATGAAAAACTCCAACATTCAGCTGATGTAGGGTCAGAGTTCTTCTTTAACCTTTTTGACTCCATCATGTGCTTTTCTTCAGATGGCGGCTGACACAGATTGAGTTTTCCAGAAAACTTTAAAGGACTCTCGTGCTGAAAGTCCATTTCTGAACAAAAACACATAACTGGAAATTTTCAGAGGAAAATCAAAATGTTTSTTATTGAAAGTGGTGGTGATATTTATTGCAACAAAAAGTAAATAAACTCCTGAAACTTCTTTTTCACTTGCCTAAGAGATCAGGTACTGTAGCTGTAAAAAAAAAAAGTCAGCTTGACAAAAGAATTAACATGGTGCTAAAAAGTCCACGCTCCAGCATCGTGCCTCATTTTTAGAAAAAAAAAAGCATTCTTAAGAAGTGAGATCTGGTTTGTAGAGTTGGACCAAAACAAGGACATGCACATAGCTTTTAAAATCCCATGAGGGCTAACTGTACCAACACCAAACACCTCTACCCTCTACAGCGGGGAAAATTATTTAATCTCATGCTGAGTTTGTAATTTTGGTCATTTACTTAGTGAACAATCCCTAATTTTTAGTTTCATTTCAATTAAGAGAGACAGAAATATCAACCAAGAATCTAGAATTAAATCCTTGTTTGATAAAAGCTTACAAACTGAATTTTATGTTTGAGAAAATAAGTATTTTTTATGTCCAAGCACAAACTAGGGGGTGTCAAACTCAGGTCCTTGAGGGCCGCTATCCTGCATGTTTTCCTTGTTTCTTTGCTTCAACACACCTGATTCAGTGCTTCAAGTAACTCCTTAAATTCTGTAGAAGCCTGTTAATCATCCATTCATGCAAATCAGGTGTGTTTTAGCAGGAAAACAAGAAAACATGCAGGACAGCGGCCCTCGAGGACCGGAGTTCGACACCTGTGAAACAGACCCAAATCACTCTGTTTCCACCTCCATGCCTGACTGTGAGGATGATGATGATGAACCCAACCAGAATTCTCTCTCATCCAATATTTATGCATCCATGTGGCACACAAATAATCCCTTAAATAAGCCGTTCTCAAAACACCCCTGATCTCTTATGTGTAAAAAGCTTTTTTCCCCTCTGAATCAGTGTCTTCCATCACAACCTCTCCTCCTCCATAGATTAGACCAAAAACCTGTTAAAGGACTTTGGGGACCAGGTTATAGACCTTCACAAAACTGTAATGGACCATAAGACCATTAACAAGGAACTTGATGAGAAGGCAGTAACTGTAAACCCCAATTTAACCTTCATCTGCTCAGCTCTGCTACGGCACTAACTCCACAGTGAAAACTCTCCCTTTATAGTCAATGAGAGCATTTAACARTGCTTACCCAGAGTGGCGGCATGCGCACAGCGATCCACAAAAATTTGACTCGGTTCTATATTTACCAGACGGCCGGACAAATGTGGAATCAATCTATAAAGATTGCACCACACCAACAGGAAAATGAACGAGCACAATACCCCTGTTTTCAAAATAATTGCCTAAAGGCACACCACATTTTATTGAATCCTAGCTATATTATGGGTAATTTATACATATATGCTGTCAAAATGTACAATTTATGGCTATGCATTCACACATAAAACAAACAAAACACCATGATATTTAACTTGCACAGAATGAATGGTTTAGATCTGACTTCAGTATTTTTCACTGGCTTTATCACACAATCTCACAAATCCTGCTCATGCTTCTCGGAGCACTTCTGGGCTTCGCACCGTGGCGGACGCAGTGTAAAGCCAGTGTTRGTGTTATCATTCAGAAATGGAAGAAATATAATAACCATCAGTCGCTCTCAGTGTGTAGCGCTGTGTAAAGTTTTTCCCAAATGATTCAGAAGTTTGTGCTGCAGTCGGATGAGACAAAAATCCAACTCTTTAGCATCAACTCAACCTGAAAATGTTTGGAGGAGAAATTCTGAGTATGAGAAAAACACTTGTCAAACACAGAAAAACATCCTGCCTCTGATTCACCTGAGTGAAGTTGGCCCCCCAACACACACTTTGTTTTCAAATGTAACAAAATTGATGTGAAACATTTGTGAAGCAAAAATTTTGGTTTATGCCGCTATCATTTTAAGAATATTAAAAGATTCCAGAGGTCAAAACCAACACGTGCATGGGGAGAACATGTAAACTCCACACAGAAAGACTCCAGGCTGATATTCTGTCTCTCTGCATCAAAATGAAAGGAACATAAAAACTAAGTTTATTTCGTGTGTGAATGTGCAAAATCAGCAGGAGATCAAATCATTATTTCCACCACTGTGAAACTAGAAATCTTTGTCAGAAGGTCTGTGGTTCTGTGGTTGTTTGGGTTCCTTTGGTCTGAATCTTGTACAGGGTTCTCCTTCTCTCACTTCGATGTATTCTGCCGTGTACTACTGTAAATACTGGCCTTGCAAAACCAAGATCCAGAGTCTGGAAGCTCCAGTCTCATTTGGGCAATCAAAGCCCAATCTTACCCAACTCTGTTTCTTTGGTACTTTCACGTTGAAGTATCACTTCCTGTCATTGTGGTTTTTTTTTTTTTTTTTGGTTTTTTTTTTTACTGGACCAGCACTTGAAACACACAATTATGGTTAAAGGGAACCCTGACTGGTTGCAACATTAGACATTATTTGATGAGCATTTACTTCAACTGTAGAGCCTTGACAAAAAGGAGAATCTAGAACTGATTCAAACTGTAACTGGAGGACAACAGAGCTGCTTTATGGAAGAACTTCAGCTTAGCCTGTTAGCTTCTGTATTAGCGCCCACACACACACACACACACACACACACACACACACACACACACACACACACACTTATATGGCGTAGTGATGTAGTGTAGTTCCCAAACAAATATGTGGCGCTAGTTTAGCTAACACTATATCGCCAAATACATTTATTGGCTCAGGTGCAAACACAAAGGCTAATAGGCTAAACTGAGGTTCTCCTTCCATGAAGCAGCTGATCGTCAGATATTAACCTTCAGGGTGGATAGAGCACCGGAAAACTTAAGTCTACGTCATCATTCACCTGATATGCTTTGTGGCGTTAATAAAATGGCTCCGTCTGTGTGACAATTATTTTTTATAATTTATAAAATCTAAACAGTCTACAGTATTTTTACGGACTTTGTTTCACAGTTGAAGTAAAGATTTATCAAATAATGTCTAATGTTACAGCTAGTCCGGGTTCCCTTTAACGCCGACGGCCTGAACATGGTAAACCTGCAGCTTAAAGTCTGCAGCACACTAGAGGAGTTAGAGATTTGTTTGATTTGGCCACTTCCTCCRGTTTGTAATCATTAATCAGAGATAAAAAAAATTTGATTAATGATTACAAACAAAAAAAATTAATGATTACAAATAAATAAAAAAAACAACTCTGATTCACCCACCAAAAAAATGCTAACTTAAAGTGTGCTGGTTCTGGTTCCTGGCAGGTCTAACCCAGACATACCTGGACTCACCTGCAGTTTTGCTGCAGTGTTTCTGGCCAYAGTATCGACTCTCCCAGCTCTCCACCCAGACCCCACACCCTCCTTTTAAAAATTTCAAACTGTCAAGAGCACAAAGTTTTCTACATGTACATATGTTTTTTAGAAGGTTGTGTAGCAATGCTCTCTGTCTGTGTGTGTGCTGCTCGTTGCTGTTATTCTGTATTTTGGTGTGCAAATAAACACACCTCATCTACAAAACTCTGTCTCAGTGAGTCATGGACATTACCCAGCATCCTGTGCTTCTTGAGTCTCTTTATTTTCAGGAATTATACAAACTGATGATTGCTGTGTTGTTGTTTCTAACTGGCTGGTGACAGTGGATCAACATGCCAACATTCTGCAGCAACTATTACCAAGTGACAAACAGAAACCCAACTTTCTTAATTCCAGGTATTTTGTATCAGGACCATAGAGATGAATAACACTAGAGTGAGCCTCATCTATCCTGCCCACTGCCAACATCTGTGACGACGTGGAGGAGCAAAGATGGTGTCCAAACAGGGCAACAGCTCACAGCCCAACTGGATCTATGTCACAAATTATTTGTAATAGTTTTACAGTAAATTAATATAATTGTTAATTATGTTAATTTAATTCAAAAATCATGGAAAACAGCTAGATACATACAAGAAAATACATAATTTATAAGTAACAATGATCTAAATCAGACCTGAAGTCAATCAACAACTTAGACCTTTAGCTAGTTGAAAAATTATGACTTCACCTAGTTTTGAAGTATGTTTATCACTTCTTACCTGTCATAAATATTAATAATAATAAATATTCACCAGTCGACACTTAGAAAATGTTTTCTGCATTCCGAGACACACTTTTAGGGCTGTGTATTGGCAAGAATTTGGCGCTACGATACATATCATGACAGAGGGGTCACGATA